CAAAATAAAACAACTAGGAGGCAGAGAATAAGCATCGAAGAAAATGGAATCTACAGAAAGCACCCAGCCCCCTTGTTTGGCAAGAAGAAAGTAAGGAGCTGTCTAATATCTGCAAAAATCTGGAGACAGACCTGGCACGAGGGGTGAATAGTGGCAGGCACAGGGATTAGGGTGCGGATTTTACTTCGACAGCCAAAACTGAAGTGTCACAATTTTGAATTTGGGACAGGCATGTTTACATCTTTGTTGCCTCATGTCCCTCAAGTTTGTCTTCACGGTAAAATGCATTCTTGGCAGTGATGAACCTATTTTTAGCAAACAGTCTTTGTATTAATCAGAAGCTACACTCGTGGGTCCAGTGCTTTATATCTACTTACCGGATATGTAGGCCTTGTCTTAAGGGCTTGCGCCGGTGAGAAGTCCTGCAGCCGTGCTCTTTATGTTCCTTCGCTGCTATCGTTGGGTGTATTTTAACAGTGGCGTTTAAAGGCAGTGGAATTAGGACTCTATATTTCACTTGCACCGCACAAGTGAAGATGGATAATGTGCTCGAAGTGCCGAATGACAATTGTTCCAAATGAGTTCCATGGAGAACATAGGAGTGTGGGTGTGTACTACCCTGGTTTTACCGGAATACTGTAGGCGCTACCCCAAGTATCAAGTGCCAACAAAGCCGAAGACAACAACATGAGAGGCATAGGCCACCGTATAAAGTTTCTAAGTGCTCTTAATTGCGTTTATCGGTGTGCAATACGTATAAACAGAAACGACTTGATAATCTAATATTGGCATAAAAGATGCTTGAATAACACTACTTTCCATAGAAAAATCCTAGATGTCAGTATAAATCCTCCCCATATATCTATGCTCCTGCTCGTTGTTATATGCTCTAACGACCTGTGATAAGGAAATTGTACTATGTAATAATGAACCGTAAATATACTATTAGATCATGTGCACTCGCGATTTTAGAGATAAATGCAAGGTTCTCATTACTGATGGAATACTTCGGAGGAGGAATATGTGAGAATTACTCTCGGAAAAGACGCTATATGCAGCCGTTTCCTCTTTAGTGATGATAACGACGGTGTTAGTTCCAGTCCAAAAAGTAATTCAGGAATGCTGCAAAGAAATTTCAGTATGTAGTGTTACGTCAGTAGGACAGAAGCAGCATATGAAAATATAGTAGAATACAACGAAGTATGAACCGTACAGATATGGATAAAGATAACTGACCAGCCACTTTGGTTTATGTTGCCAACTGGCAACAAACTCAGGACTCTACTGACCATATTGGATATCCAGCGAGGCGTGTTTAGCTGTTCACTACCTTGCTGTCATCTCTTCACTGATTCCTTGCTACTTGTCCCGGTACTCACTCCACCTCCTTACTACTGTCTACTAAGCACACTCATTTCACCCATGTTGACCCTTCGGAAGCATCCCATTTATCCCCTTACACCGTTTCTGGTGTTTCCCTTCAGGCACCTGTACAGATATGGGTTACAAGAGAACCCCTAATCTTTCCAGTGGCCCGTATCTTTCCAACCAAATCTGTGGGTCACATGCAAATAAAAGCTCACAGTGGATAATCACCCAACCGGAACCGGAAGCAGGAAAGCGGAAGATAAGTTCCCACTCTCTATATCATCAGAACCAAAAGGGTTGAGTCAGGCCCCAGGAGCATGGGGCGAGCGTTCAAGACTGTCATTCCCTTTACTTATACAATTGACGATGGATGCTAAATACGGATAAACTGCACATCCTACCATCAGCAAAACTACAAGTGAGGTCTATTTGGTGGTGGGAATTCTAGAAGTCTAGGTCAAAATTACGCTCACCAGACAGCAGATACCTCAGCAAAACCCAGTGGAAATCTCATGTAAGTATGTTAGGTGTTAGGTAACAGCTTGGGATCTTATGTGTGCAACTTATTTATTCCTCTCAAAAGCGATCACAAAAAGGCTAAACTGTCATCGACAAGCCACAGGCGGCCTCGTACGCTAGCAGAATTCAATTCCAAAGTATGTGGCTCTAGCACCTTCTTCTAACAGTTTTCTAGAGAAGATTTTATTAAGATCAAAAGAACCGACACCGGATGCTTGAAGGACTGTTCTCATTCAGTTATTGCGGAATTATCCTCATTATCGAGGGCTAAAATAAATGTCAGTTTCGGTTAATGAGCGTGGGAGATTTGGATTGTAGGTCACGTTCGCAACATGATTCGAACTGTCATTCGTGGCCGTAATAGTTCGCAGTTCCTTAAAGTAAGTGGATATATGTATGTACGTTTCAGATAATACGTACTGATTCTCGGTATTAGCTATCTTGTAGAAACTTAGTATTTGCCTAGAGCATACATAACCTAATATTTCCTGCATCTTAGTAATCTTCGGTATAACATGGACTACGTAGACCGGCATGCTAAATGCAGCTATTTATAATCGCGGTCTTGAGGATCAGGTGTTCTCCAATTTTTGAATTTTCAACAGCTGTCTTATTTGGTCTTACATTTCAGAATAAACTTAAGTGCATTTTAGAGGCTTGAGTTCGGTCTAGTTTCGCAATAGTATTTGGTAGTCTGGTGGGTTAGGATAGAAATTCATCTTGATAATTACCCCCCGACAGGTTGTGGAGCACAAGCGTCTGAAGGCGGCATTCAACCTTGTGAATCTAGAGATAGTTTCGCAATGTCTGACTGTGAAGGAGACATGAAGGGAGATTAGAAGGTAATGATGGGGGAGATGGATAGCAGTCTAATGAGACTTGAGCGCTGACAGAGTTGTGAGGGTGGATGATACTGCCCGGTTACCCACACCATGGAAGACTATTTCTTCCTAGGGTACCTGGAAGAGATTTGTGTGACCACAGACCCTATCGGACATCTGCTTGAGGCCTGTCACATGCAGCCTTTTGTGTATGATTATTTTGAACTTTCGTTGTTTTGGAGCCGGATGGTCGAAAAGAAACGACAAATAAACCAACACCACCAGCCCGGCAGACCGTGGGGCATGGTGGAGTGTGTTATTTTTGGGGCCGACCTTTTCTAACACCCACTCCCACTGATGGCAGCATCAGCATGGCACTGCTGGTCATCCAAGGGAAACACCTTACTGCTGTCACACCCCATCCAGCTAGCAGCAGTACGACTTCGCTCGCAGACCCCCATCATAGTGTAGTAATTTACACCACAACGGTGACTGGTTTTCGTCTAACCACTATCCAACAGACCTTTCTGGTATGGTAGGACCTCGAGGGAACAAGTGTTCGACCAGCATAGCTCGTTGGGTCATTGTGATATGCAAGCCAGACCACCACGTCAAGGTGGCAGCTATCGGTAGTGACGAACAGCCGAGATTGTCATTTGGAAACTTGAAATGATAAGTCTTGGAATCGATCGCGATGGTGGAGATGTAGGCATGTATCTTCATTTTAATCGTTACGCTAAACTTCAATAGCTTGCCATTCACATTAGGCCTCTTTAGGTAACTTTCCACTAATTTTCACTGCCTTTTTCCCTATTTCTTTATCGCTAATCTTGGTGCAGTATCCTGTGATGTGCGGAAATGGGGTGTAACAACATGAACCGCTACTCAGTAATGCCAGTTAGCATGTTGATACTGGCTGACTATTGCCATATATTACAGTTGGTATCTTTCAACATTGTCACTCATACGAAACTAATTAATGCAACTGGAGTATAAAAAAGGAAATATAATAATGCGAATTACTCCGCTTTCTCCTAAAGCATACAACTGGTTGACACTTCCATTGCATACTGGCAATAACATACCTCTAAACTAAGAGTCGAAGCTATCTCATACTTTAAACAAAATATGGTTAATTTGTCGCACAGTTGATGATGTACCAAAACCAAATCCGATTCAGCTAGTAAACTTACCTCTTTTCTCTTGATTCTTGAGGTGAGGTGAGGGGTAAAACGTTGGTACATTATAGCAATTTACAAACCACTTTCGTCTGGTTGATTCCTCTAGTATTATTTTAATTTTTCAAAGCAGACGGGAACAATTGGCATCAACAAGCTCGCACATTGAACCATGCTTCAGAAAATATTTTAATATTTAAAAAATCAACGGACAAGGTTTTTATTGCCTTTACGACAATCTTTTAAGTGGCTATCAATAAAGTGACTTAAGGTTTCTCTACACACATAGATCATATGTTCTGATAAGAATGAGTCTAGTGTTGACCCAATCAGGGAATCAGGGCTTGGTAACTAATATTTCCAGATTTAAAAGAGATTTATGCAGCCTTTCTCAAAACTTTGGACTCTGTCGCTAACTATTACCTCGCAAAGATAAGTACATTTCAAAAGGCGCTCAAAACGTGGTTAACAAAATTGACTCCTTTTCCGAGACAAAACTTATGAGGAACACACGGTAGCTATGTCCTAGATCCAGAAAGGTACGAGATGATCCTGTAAAATCCTGAAATAGTCCCCATACTCTTGATCACACATAGACCTGGGTAAACTTTAATGTTTAAGCCAAAATCCAAGGGAAGACTTGAAATTCCAAACTAAACACAAGAAGTCCGCTTTTGCCATTTCAGCTTCCAAGCACCTGTCAATAATAATGGTGTTTTTCCTATAAGGACTGGGCACACATCTCTTGAGAGTAAACTCAATCTCTTAAACTGGAACTACGAACGGGGTTTTCCTTTTCTTCTCTCTTCTTGTTATGCATGTATAGCTTGGTAAGCAAAGGCTCTCCTGATCCAATACTTCGGAAGTTAGATAAGAGAAAGAGTCACCAGACAATGAGTCAGTTAACAATTGAAACTAGTAGTTAAATACGTTGTTGTCGTTCAGAGTCCACCGTACTTTGAACATACAAGTGCACACCAAGAATTACAAAGAAATCTTAAATACCTGTGTGTGTCAACTGAAAACTAGAACAGAATTCGCTAGAAATCAAGCCTCTGAAATGTTTCCATTTATTCTAATTTTTGAAACCATAGAAAACAACTTGGAAGTTCAACTGTTGACGAGCCTCCAGAATCTTAAAAGTCAGTAACGGCATTTCACCCACGTTCCAGCTTGTAGATCTTTGTCGTCCAAGTGATACCGAAGATAACCAACACAGTAAAGAGTTTCGTGAAGTAAAACGATTGGCATTGAGGAAAAGTGGCATTGAAAAGTCGGGGCCATACTCTGAGCGAAATTCGAGGTTTCAACGGCCATGTCCCGCAGCCATATAATAGGACAGGAAAAAATGCTGCGCAGTATACTCATTTTCGTCCAAGGTGTCAAGAAGACCCTGCACTTTGTCAGCGTCTTCACACCTATAACGAAAATAATAAAGGAATAGTGACAATGGGCATTCCTGACGGACACCTATAGTTGTCGCTAAGTCACATGACAACTATCCACAAGCTCTTACGCAGATGCGAGTTCGAGTAAGTGTCAATTAATATTTCATATTTTCCCGAACTCCACAATCGACCGATAGCTGCTACCTTGACGTGGTGGTCTGGCTTGCATATCACAATGACCCAACGAGCTATGCTGGTCGAACACTTGTTCCCTCGAGGTCCTACCATACCAGAAAGGTCTGTTGGATAGTGGTTAGACGAAAACCAGTCACCGTTGTGGTGTAAATTACTACACTATGATGGGGGTCTGCGAGCGAAGTCGTACTGCTGCTAGCTGGATGGGGTGTGACAGCAGTAAGGTGTTTCCCTTGGATGACCAGCAGTGCCATGCTGATGCTGCCATCAGTGGGAGTGGGTGTTAGAAAAGGTCGGCCCCAAAAATAACACACTCCACCATGCCCCACGGTCTGCCGGGCTGGTGGTGTTGGTTTATTTGTCGTTTCTTTTCGACCATCCGGCTCCAAAACAACGAAAGTTCAAAATAATCATACACAAAAGGCTGCATGTGACAGGCCTCAAGCAGATGTCCGATAGGGTCTGCGGTCACACAAATCTCTTCCAGGTACCCTAGGAAGAAATAGTCTTCCATGGTGTGGGTAACCGGGCAGTATCATCCACCCTCACAACTCTGTCAGCGCTCAAGTCTCATTAGACTGCTATCCATCTCCCCCATCATTACCTTCTAATCTCATTTCACATCTGTCAACTAACGATGCTATATCATCTTAAATTTCTCCTAGCTCTTCAGCCTTCGACAACAACCTGAATCCACAAAACAGCATTCTTGGTTTCCTTAAAACAGGCTCCAAATTACATATTGAAGCCTTCAATGTCCACACCGTCTGTGAAATTGGTCAACAGGCTTCGTTGGCGAAGGCTGTAAGAACTGGAGCCATGAATCTGTGCTACGTTTGTGAGACGTATACAGGACTCCAGTGTGGTTATTCACCTGACTTCTGCCGGCCAATCTGGTGAATCCACGAAACTCACACTTCGAGTTTCTGGAGATTTGATAGCTAGCTCTCGTGGTCTTGCAGGTGTAGACACAGCAACAAGCACTAGGGTAGAAAATTCGCTAGAATGGATCCCAGTTGATAGTCGCCTCTAGGCTATCCGACTGAACGGCTTAGTGGGAACTAAAAAGAATAGTGAGACTCACCGTTATCTCTTTATAATCTCTGCTTACTGACTGTATGTAGTTCGGATGAAGTGAAGGACGAGTTCTACCGTAAACTGTCTAACCTCCTCTCGACAGCCAAACGTTCAGACGTGGTGGTTGTTGCAGGTGACTTCAGTGCACAGGTGGTTAGACTGAGTGAGGCAGAAAGGCACTTAGATGGCACCTTCGAAGTCCCGGCTGGACGTACAGATAACGGTGATCGCCTATTACAACTATGCTCAGATAACCACCTATTATAAGCTGTCACAAATTTCAGATATAAAGACACTGTCTGATGTGGCGTCCACCGAGCTCAACCCAGCGATGGACACAGATAGACCACATTGCTATTAGACATTGCTAGAGGGGATCGGTGGAAGACTGCCGCTCCTTCTGTAGTACGTGTTTGGATAGCGACCACGCGTTGGTCCGAGCTCGTATATGCCTACGTCTCAATGGAAGTAGGAAAAATTTCGCAACAAAACCAATGGGAGTGCAGCTCGACAACGAAAACTTCAAAGCCGCTTTCAGCGAAAAACTGGCTAGGGAGTTATCTGAACAGAAGACTATCACTTACCAAGAAGAAGCTTCATGCCATCTGCAGTCTGCTGTGAAAGCAGCGCTGAAGACCGTAGACGACTCCGGAAGAGTGGCTAAAAAGAGCCAGTGGATATCAGGAGCTTCTTCCGAACTAATGGATGCACGTGACCGCATCCCTGGAGGCTCTATGTACAATGAAGAGCGATCGCAACTTCAAATTAGATTGAGAAAAAGTCTACGCAACGACCGCGAACAGTGGTGGGCAGCGAAGGCTAAAGAGATGTAAAAGGCAGCGGCGACTGGTAACAGCAGACAGTTATTCAGAGTTATTAAGGAAACTAGGGGGAAATAGGTCAACAACGATTAGTGAGGCTATAGCGGAGAAGGACTGATCTGCGATTCACTCGCAGAGGAGACGACTGGGACGAAGGGCAGAACACTTTGAGGAACAGTTTAACTGACCTCCAGCCACCATTGCGTTGCCCGCTATCCAGTCGGATCTTGAAAAAAACATTGAGATAGGCAGAAGTTGAGAAAGCGGTAGGTCATTTGAAACGAGGAAGGGCGGCAGGACCAGACAGATTAACTCCTGAGGTATACAAAGATGGTGGTAAGGTGCTCTTAGTTAGGTTAACGGAAGTGTTAGCTAGTATATGGGAATCAAATACAGTCCCCCCTTGACTGATCTAAATCACCGATTATCCCAGTCTTCAAGAAAGGCGAGAAGTCCTCTTGTGGTAACCACAGAGGAACCAGCCTGACGAACATAGTGTCTAAGATTCTAGGTTCTATAATTCTTCGACGCCTGAGTGGTGCTTGGGAATAGCGATCCCGAGGAAACCAGGCAGGCTTTAGACCTGGCTGTGGAAGACTATTTCTTCCTAGTGTACCTGGAAGAGATTTGTGTGACCGCAGACCCTATCGGACATCTGCTTGAGGCCTGTCACATGCAGCCTTTTGTGTATGATTATTTTGAACTTTCGTTGTTTTGGAGCCGGATGGTCGAAAAGAAACGACAAATAAACCAACACCACCAGCCCGGCAGACCGTGGGGCATGGTGGAGTGTGTTATTTTTGGGGCCGACCTTTTCTAACACCCACTCCCACTGATGGCAGCATCAGCATGGCACTGCTGGTCATCCAAGGGAAACACCTTACTGCTGTCACACCCCATCCAGCTAGCAGCAGTACGACTTCGCTCGCAGACCCCCATCATAGTGTAGTAATTTACACCACAACGGTGACTGGTTTTCGTCTAACCACTATCCAAGAGACGTTTCTATTTTTAGTATGACTATTTGAGCCTATACTTGGTAAAGCATAGGTATCAGGATGTTTACTTAGAAGCAGGACTGCAACATTTCGAAGCCAGGACGGAAAAGAATGGCAACGAAAACTAATGTGGTTAATTAAAGAAGCAGTCCCTACGGTATATCTGAAGAAGCACTCACTGCTTTTTTGTTTTAATGTTCAGTAATGAAAACAGCAGGAAGACTGCTGCATGATCGCTAGTGGATTTGATTTTGAGCTATTTCTGCTATCTCCTTGAGCCATTGAGTTGCATGATTTGTTGGACCTTATCCAGGGAGCCGTGAGGCATTTACAGATGCTACCGCAACACAGAAGGCGTTCATCTCACGACGCTATATCATACACTGAGTATCTCTCTTCTTCCAGCCAGTTTCGAGGTAAGAGAACAGCGGCCACTAGGACAGGATGTATAACACATTTCTGAGCCACCGAAGCCATTATTACAAGGTGACCACACTTCGTAAATGCTGATCTGCACCACGACCAAATACACGCCCTCTCCCCTCAGAATTACTTACATGGTATTTCTACTGGATGTGAGCAATCCTGTGGAGGCAACAGTGATTAAAAGCGCGGAGTAATTTGACATCCTCAGCTCAGCAGAGCTAGGTTTCACAGGTATATAGCAGAACCCTCCGCATCGAAATATTATGTGACGAATCTTTTACAACAAGGTTGACACCACGACGGCTCACATCGGCATGCATCACTCTGGTTCTCAATCTGCGGTTGGAAATCTCGTCAGCCACACTTCCGCCAGCACTGACACAACTACTGACGTACATGAACGTTTCTATGACTTTTGTTGGTTCATCACCAAGTGTGTAGGTACAGGCGCCTGCCAATCTTGTAGATGCCCTTTGCACCTCGATAGTTCAAAGCATATACCGTACTTACAGACACTAATCACTAACCTATTAAGTAGGGTTTGCTAGCCTGTGTGTTTTCGCAAAGTAAGACGATATCATCTGGATACTCGAGATTGAAAAGTCTTTCACTGCGTTACAGGTCTAGACAACCACTACACACTTCCCTCAGGATTTTTCTTAGAATATGTCATGGATGGCAAAGTTAAAGAGGAACTAAACAGTCATTCAGTTTTGTGTAACTTCGGTGATAGCTTGGAGCCAGCCTGAAATATTGAAGCATTGGAAATTGAATATGTTAACTCGTGTCTCATTAACACACCTGTAGCACACAATTCCAGAGTACAGTCCTGTCAAACAAGGCGAAGGCAATCGAAATATCAAAAATATAACGATTGTTGTTCCTCAATACTTGTTATAGTGTTCAGGTCCAACCAATAGCTGGTACCTTGACGTGAAGGTCCAAGTGACCCGACGAAATACACTGACTGAAACGCTTGTTGCCTCGAAGCTCCACCACACCAGAAAGAGCGGTTAGAAACGTAGCTACCGTTGTAGTGTGAATTGCTATGCAATGTTTGGGGTTGGAGGGTAAAGTTGTACTGTTGGCTGGCCGGATGGGGAATATAACAGCAGTAAGGTGTTTCCCGCTGATGACAAGTAGTCCAATGCTGTTGCTGCCTTCCCTGTGGAGTGAAAAGGGATTAGAAAAGGTTTGCTCCAGAAATAGCACACTCTTCCCTATCCCATAGTCTTCTGGTACTGAGGGCATGGATTTTTCTGTTCGACGTTAGAACAACCAAACCACACTAATGATCTTCAAAAGGCTGAGTGTAACACCCCGCAAACAGATGCCACATGTGCTATGTAGTCACATTCTTTTCTCTTTCAGGTACATTGCAGAAAAAATGTCCCTGGTTTGGACACCTAGAAAGTATCAACCATCCACCCGCTATCAGGAATGTGCAAGATTCAGTCAAGCATAATCTACCCTACTTAACTGTCTACTCATTTGCCTTCACCTCCTGGTACTAATATTAGGCCTCTTAGAAACTCCTCGACTTCTTACTCTACGACCATTGCCAATGGTCCAAGCCATCAAAACCTCATTCCTAGTCTCCTAAGACTCCATCTCCGATTTCATGTAGGGACTTTCAACGTCCGAACTCTATGCCAAATGGGACAGCAGACATTAATCTCCAGAACTCTGGTATCTTGAGCCATGGATGTATGGTATGTCTCTGAGACACGTATACAGGATTCGAGTGCCGTTATTAGATTCACCTCACCTGGCCATTGCGCCGAATTCTTCAGATTCTCTGTTCAAGTATTCGGAGACTCAGTCGTTATTTCTTGTGAACTGGCTAGTGTAGGCGTACCATTGAGTTACAGAGCAGAAATTGCACTTCTCAGTTGGATGCCAATCAACATCCGTTTACTTGCTGTTCGACTTAATGGATCTGTAAAAGTTAGGAAGGTTCACGAGACAAACCTATCCCTACTCTTTATGTTCACCTACCGGCGATTTCGGATGATGCAAAGGATGGATTCTATCAAAAGCTGTCCATTTTGCTACGCAAAGCAAAACTTTAAGTTGCAGTCATAGTTGCATGCAACCTCAGCGCTCATGTAGGGAAGCTGAGCCAGTTGGAAAGGCATCTCGGAGGTATCTACGCAGTCCCATGGCAACGGACCGATAAAATGGTCGTTCGTTTCAATTTTGTTCTGACAGCCACCTGTTTTTGATCAGCACTAACTTCAAACATGAGATACATTGTCTCACTTGGAGTCCACTGAAATCAAACCAACGATGGACACATAGATCATACTGCTATGAGGCATCGTTAGGGAGAATCACTGGGATTGCCGTTCTTTCTGGAGTACCTTTTTAACCTTCGGTCATGTGTCAGTACGGATGTATATTTTTGTACCTTACAGGTTACAGAAAACAGGTGACAGCAAAGCCCTTGCGTGCTCATTTGGCAGACTAAAACACCAAGCACGTATTTGGGGAGGGGATAGCTAAGCGTCTCTCTGAACATGACAGTTATCCTCATTGTAACGAAACCTGGTATAATATTAAGTCTAATGTTGATACAGCGGTAAAGAGCTGGTAATCTATGCCCGAAGGCTAGCAAAAGTCAATAGATTTCCACAACGTCATCCGAACTGACTGGTTCGAGAAGATTGATTCCAGCTGACTCTTGCTATAGTGAGGAGCGTGAGCGACTTAAACGTAAATTGACTGGGAGTCTTCGTAAGGATAGGGAGTAGCTGTAGGTGTCGAAAGCAAGAGAGATGAAGACGTCAACACTAAGTAATACCGGCTTATTATTTAAGCTTACAGAGAACAAGAAAATGATGGTTATTGAGACCTTCATCGAAAAGAATGGAACTCTGATAACTCTTCAGGACAGATGGTTAGAACGTTGGACAGAACACTTTAAAGAACACTGCAGCTGGCCCACAGTAACGCTTCCTAGAATACAGCCTGGCCCTCCTTGGGCTGTAGATGTTGGTCCTGCAGCTCTTATCGAAGTTGAAAAGGCTGTTTCAGACCTGAAACAACGCCAGGCAGCTGGACCTGGACCAGAAAATCTTAAGGATTAATGTGGACATATACTGATTAAGGAAACGCCGGTACAATTCAGTGTATGGGGATCAGAGATAGTTCCGACAAACTAGTCTTGATTGCTAATTACTCCAGTTTATGAGAAAAGAGACAAATTTTGACGTCACATCCATTAGCGGATTAGCTTGGCTAACATTGCCTTTCAAATCCAAGGGTGCGTACTTATCCGACGCCTAACTGAAGCTTGAGAACAGCAAACTCGAAGAAAACCAGGGAGGTTTCCGACCTAGACGGAGGTGCGTTGACCAGATTTTTAACCTTCCACAGGTTCTGAAATAGGCATACCTGCCGGTGGCCGACACTTGCCATATTTCTTGACCTAAAGGCGGCATTTGACTTCGTCTCCTGTGAGGTGTGTGGCAGTGTCTGACTGTTAATTGAGTACCGAGAAAGTGTATGTAAAGCTAATCGAAGCTCTCTACTCGAACTCTCGCAGCCGTGTGAGGGCTTATAGAGAGTTGTCGTCAGAATCGACAACTACTGGTGTGCTCCAGGGATGTCCACTGTCACCATTCCTATTTAACTTCTTAATGGACGTACTAATGAACATAAGCTTATGAACGTTCGCCTTCACAGTGATTGATTTGCTCCCTAAAGAACACCTGATCGACTTGGAGTACGCAGATGATATCGTCCTGCTAGGTGACGACCAACAAAATGTAGAGTCTTCTGAACGCTTGAGCAGAAATTTGAGTGTGTTTGGTATGCGTTTCACTGGCACCTGTCAAATGTAAAATGACGCTCCAGGACTGGTGTGTTGCAAGCACTAATAGTTTAATGATATGGAGTGAAGTGGTGGAGTGTATCAACCACCTCACTTACTTGATGAGTTGTATCGGCCCGAACAGGCTGGTTGCTGACGAAATCTCAGCTTGGATACAGAAGGCCCGTTAGGCATTTACCGAGTTCCGTCATCTGGGGCGTCGACTGGCAAGATTCCTGACTGTCGATCAAAACCGAGTATACTGCGCTGCAGTCTGTTCTGTGCTGTTGTATGGTTGTGAGACATGTCCGTTGAAAGTAGACATGAAGAGACTACATGTTTGTAGCCATAGGTGTCTTCGTAGCTCTCCTGGCGTGTGGTGGGATCAACATGTAAGCAGTGTAGAAGTTGGGAGGAAGGTACTAGGCAAAACAGGTAAGCCAGTAGATTGGACTGTAAACCTTCAGCGACGGAGATGGCTTGGACATGTTTTGCGTATGTCAGGCCTCCTACTACTTCGATGTGAAATGCTAGGAGAAGTTGGGTCAAGTTGGAAGTAGGTTCAGAGTGACCAGAGCAAAACACGTCACCACCAGTCTATGAAGTCTCTGACTGCTAGTCTGAACCGTATAGGGAAATGGACTATCTGACTGGGGTTTCGGGACAATGGGAATCAATGTTTGGAGACTCTTGGTGGTGTGGCTGAAAACCAGTCACAATAGCGCAGATATATTCTATTTGGCGTCTTCTAAAGCTTAAATAGTTTCACTGATGTTCATTTTATTAATTTTCTGTCGTCCCGTGCATTTTTGTCGACGTCAATATGACCCATTTTCTATCCACTTGTTGTTTGCATTCTGTTGTGAAGTGTGGCAATTTAAGCCGATGCACTTCTGTTGATGGTTCTACGTTGGTTTTATCTATCTGTCGGTGTTCAGGCATGTGGTGGAGTGTTAGTCCGTAGTCACTGCTCGTATGACCTGTAAGAAACGTGGCTCGCATCTTCATATCATTTTCTCACATGTTGCACAGCCTGCCAAGCAGGATAACTAACGCTTATGACTACCGTTAGCAGACTGGTACTCCAATGATTACCACACACATTACGTGTATTCTTTTTAAAGATGTTTGAGGCAATAGCTTCACTCCATAGTTATAGAACACCCAGTCTGTCGTGTCTTCTTAAACAACCTAGTCAGTTCCGTGACTAGTCTTATTTCTACCCTTAAACATATTGGGGGTAAGGGTAGGTGTTTCGGCCAGGTGCTTTGTGGTATTCTAAAACTTGAAGTTCCTTAGGACATCTGCTTCGTTTGGTGGATTGTTATTAACCGACCGTGAAAAACAAAAAATTAAGTTTGAGGTTGCTGGGACAGTAGACCGGCTGAACTGCTTTTTGAAATGCTCCTCCGAGTGTTTTAGGCGCTTTTGAAAGTTAGTGATCTACTTGACAAACTATCTCACTAATACGAGGCTTTTTGCTAACAGTGGCTTGAATGAACTAGAACAGCTTTCATTTGTTGCCAGATACAGGAGAAGCTCCCATCTCAACCATGAGTTCTGACCACTAAGCTTCACTGTCCTTGCAGAAATGGTGTTTCGTTTGTTGCTTAAGAGACTAACGCACATGGTTGTACTTGGTACCCGTCGGGATATATGGATGGTCGTCAAGAAGTTGCAAAGGACTCATGTGACTGTCATATCAAGGCGATAGATATCTATCGGTGTATTTTCTGAGGTTTTCGAGTTATATTGACTATATCACTACCAACCTCCACCGGATACGGCTTGTACTTTATGTTTAAAGAGTGTGGTTAAGCGAATATTTATTCTATATTTCATACGTAACGTTTTGAAGTTGGTCACGTGTTTAATATTTGTTCTCAGTAATTTTTTGTTATTCCTCTTGTCTTATTGACTTCTATAACGGCTTTGGTTATTTAAATTGAATGAAATGCTACTGTGCCAAATTGTTTTAGGTTTTGAATCGGATTGAAATCCACTTAGGCACTTTGTGCACATTCGTGCAGTAGGCAATGAGCCATACTTATTATTCGAGAGCTAGTGATACTACCTGGCCGCCCAAACCTTGGTAGGTGGGGTGGTACTTAAACCTGCTACACTATTTAAAAATCAACTGCCTGAACCAATTACCTAGCACTAAACAATTCGTTAAGTTCATTGTTGCAAACATGGTTATCTTTTTATTGGTTGGTCTGTTTAATTTGTATCGTTCTTACCCTTTTACTAGGTATATGCTAGTAGTCGGAATTACGTTTCGAAAAAACCAATGAATCTAGGGGTTGTGCTCGTTCCCGAAAAAGAAGCGTGGGTTGTTGAAAGATTGGGGAGATTCAGCAAAACACTGAAACCAGTTAGTATTCCGGGATTTTCACTTGAATATTTTACTTTAGGGACTCAATTTTTGTATTCCCATAGTGGATCGCATCGCTTACGTGCAGTCACTGAAAGAAGTTGCCATTGAGATTCCAGATCAATCTGCTATAACATCAGGTAATCATAAAGACTATTTTTTTTGCTTCATTTGCTGAATAAGACACTCACGTGAAGCATGTTTTGAATATATATATATATATATATATATATATATATATATATATATATATATATATATATATATATATATATATATATATATATATATATATATATATATATATATATATATATAATCTCAGTAGGAGTTTTGATGCCTCATGGTATGCTGAATAGAATAAAACAATCTTTGATATGTTGTCTGTATATTATCAAGTGACCACCTTGCCTATTTTTTCTGCCAGTCATAAATTCATGCTCGACTTAAAAGATACTGACATTACATACAATCTGTTCCAAATGTCGAAGATGGTTATGTTGGCTGTTGTAGATTGTGTTAGTTGTGATATCATCCAGATTTCAAACTGAAAGCTTTTACTTTAAGAGACAACCCCTTGATTCAAACCTAATCCAACAGGAAGTAGCATAATCAGGAGTCTTGTTCTCCTTATAGGCTGTGAACTGTGCAAGTTCTGATCTTGTTTGCTCCCTTTGTATATGAAAGTGCGTTTTACGGGTTTCGATGTAGCGTATCTTCAATTCCTCCTAGTAAACAGTTCATATCCTTTTCTCCTATTGCTAAAAGTCGCTACAGAATTAACAGTACTAGTGAAAACTGTTAAACTATAAAACAGATTGTCAGGGCTAAGACAAATATCTGTAAAACTCACTCTCAGATGAGAATGATGCGAATATGGGGAATTTACTCAAAAAACCCATTTGTTCATTCATATGGATACCAAAATTCGGTCTACTGTATATCAATAGTAGTGTATCATGCATGAAATGCAATATTGAATTATAATAGTGGTTGGGAATCATCTTTGCCAATCAGAAGTGTACCCTAACGATCAAGTTTTTTAAATTAGCATGTAGCTGAGTCATCACTTGCAACAAGGATGATGTGAATGGCTGGAAAAGTAAGTTCTTTTCCAGCAGCCAGTCGGTGGCGTGTTCAAGCGCCATCTTCACCCACTATGTTTGTATATCCTGGTATTGTCATCCTCTCATTTAGCTAATGCAGAAACCCTTACAACATTGTTATGCGTTTTAGTTCAACTAGTTGTAATTGTAATGGCTATTTATTGAATGGAAAAGTTGGCGTAAAGTAGGAAAGTTATGCGGGTACATAGAAGGTTATTAATCTCCTTTTACCTCAAAAACACTTTTGGGTCTGACTATTTTGTTTTTACTTACTTTCTATTTCAAAAAATAACTACCAGTTCGTAAATTTGGCATCTTTTAGATAATGTGGTTCTCCAGCTTAATGGTGTTCTATTCTTAAAGGTGAAAGATCCGTACTTAGCATCTTATGGAGTGTCTGAAGCTGAATTTGCAATTACCCAGGTAAATTTGTTGTTAATTTTTAACTACTATTGAACTGAACTTATTAATAATTTTGTAGATTTTTAAGTTTGTACTGCTGTGAAGTTTGACAACGTCCCCTGTCATACTTCTGTGCAGACTTCTACTCTGATTTGTCTCTGTATAAGATTTAGAATTTCATTTTTCATTTGTTATCAGAATAAGAAATCTTACTGTAGAATTTGAAATTTTCTGTCTAATGAATTCAGAAAAGTTAACTTGTTGCGTATATGACTTTGATTAAGTTCCTAACAATGCGTATGAGGTTGCATTTCTGTCCATTATAAGCTAATAAAAAGTTATTCTACTTTTGAAAGTACAAAACTTCGTTTATCGGCAGTAGCCAGAGGTGATGATGAGATAGTATAAGTATAAAGTAATCACCTTTCGCTAAGTTTTAGGATATCTCACTGAAAACATCGGAGATTTCATAGTTATCAGATACTTGAACATTGTGAAGACTGAGTTTTGGTTCACACCTAGATTAAAAAGCATGTAAATCAGAAAAAAAAATGTAGAAAGAAAAGACAAATTAAAATAAATGCATGTGGAGTGAGATCATTATTAAATTAGTTACCTCTCGTTTAAGTCTACCTAAAAGAAAGGCATTTATCTGACGTAGATTCTTGGAACAGTAATAATAATATAAAAGATTTTAGGAGGTCTCGTCAAAACTAAAGTACTTCAGCGTCAAAATGGAGTATTGTTGTTACTACATAAGTTATTCTGTAGTTTGTTGACTTGGAAAGTCAACTGTTACCTATAGAGTCACGGGGTGAAATTCATTTCATCTACTTCAATTTTGATAGTTACCTGTCATCGCTAATCTTCATATAGTGGTTTAAAGCTTAGAGACCAGTACTTGAGACCATGCCATGCTGCTGAGTCACATTATTATACGATGCAGATAAATTGTAATCCTTTTCTGTTGTGTAAGCTAGATAACTTTTCAGGTTTCAGCAGAAATGACATTTTTTAAAACCGATTTTGTGTTTTTGACGAATAAATCGTAGTCAGCGCTAAAACAGCAAATAGATTTACATATCATGCATGTACAGTTCTAATGAATAAATATCTAGTATTGTATTATAGGTATTCAGTTTATATATTGTGACTTAAATTTTATATATACCATTCTTTTGATGTTTATTACAGCTAGCACAAACAATAATGCGATCAGAAATCGGTAAAATAATTTTGGACAATGTTTTCAGAGAACGAGAAGCATTGAATTTACAAATTGTACAAGCTTTAAGCAAAGCATCAGAACCTTGGGGTATTGAATGTTTGCGTTATGAAATTCGTAAGTTTAATGTTTTGCTAGGATGTATTCCTCTTTTAGGCGATATCCATCTGCCACAGAAAATCAAGGAAGCTATGCAAATGCAAGTTGAGGCGGAAAGAAAAAAACGTGCATCCATACTGGAATCAGAGGGCCAGCGTGAATCTGCTATCAATCGAGCTGAAGGTCTTAAACGTAGTCAAGTGTTGGAGTCAGAAGGTCATCGAATAGAGATTGTAAATAAAGCTACAGGTAATGTGTCATGTTATTTTATCGAATAAATTTCAGAGTGGAGGGTATATAATTAGAAATTATCGAATATTGAAAACAAATATATAACTAGTTGATGAATTTATTTGTTGGTTGTACAGTAGACGGTCCATTTATTGTGACTTCGAGTTATATCTGATATATGGAGTCAAACTATTGTATATAAACTTCAGAGGGTCATGATACCACCCCCAATGGGAAAAATTATCCCATACTGACCTATTATGAACTAACCAGTCTCAACGTAAGAATGTGCTACACAGCATGAAAGCTGGTAGATTGACATGCAATACTGTGTCTAAGCCATTGGGAACAGAAATGGGGCTGTAGCATATTGCTTCAAGCACTATACGCTTAAACGGTACGTCCTGGGTTCAAATCGCACTTCCATCAAAGCAGTTCTGTAGAATATCATAAATCCTCACGCAAAGTACGTTGGTCATACCCTAGGGTGTCGACACTTAGAATGGATTGAATTAAAGGTTATAATGAGGTAACCTCACTAAATGAATAGCGAACTCAGCTATGTTTCACTTTGGTAGTGCTTGTGTGGGTTGAGTTAGTTGGTTGACGTAGTTTAACTCAATTCTGTAGGCCATGGCTTGTTGCCTCAATTCAACCATTGAGGCATGTCCAACCAGGCGGTATTATTGGATCTTATTAGATGTAACTCATAGTATTTCATGTAAGAAAATACAGATACTATGGTAAAATGCGGTCTCATACTAAGATTTGTGTATTCAGTAAAGCATGTAGCAGTATTACAGTATTAGAGTAACTTTTCATGCACTTTGATGAGATTGTTTGATTTAGCTGTGATTTGAAAAACTCTTCTCACTGTCAGATAGAGAGATATATACGGGCAAAATCAAAGTACAACCTCACATCGGTTCTAGTTTTGTCACTTCACAGTAGCATGTAAAAAACAAGTTGATAGAAAAGAATGGTCAAATTAAAGTAGATAAAGGTGCATAGGATGAGAGAGAACTAATAAAATGAAGGTTAGTGAAAATATTCGTGTTTCAGAAGGCGTCAAAGAGTGAATACATCTGCACCACTGCGACCGATTTTCAAACATGCCACTAAGATTATCCAAATGTTGATTTTTATTATCTTGGGGACTTCCCCCCAGTCAGGCATTATACACCTTACATGACTCAGACCGACAGTCAGAGACTGATGGCATGTTTTGGTCTACCTACTCTTAGGCTTCTTCCTACCCAATCCTTGTTCGGCTAACATTGGACATCAAGGTAAGAGGTGCATCGATGTGTGGAGTACATATCCAAGTCTGTGAAGGTTCACAAACTTATTGACTGACTTTCCTTCCCTGCTTAGTAACCATCGCCTAACATCTACTTTCTTACCCATTGAGCAATGATATGAAGACACCTCTGTTCGAAAACCTGTAACCAACGGCCATGCTTCACAGCCGTATAACAGGACAGAATAAACTACAGCACAGTATACTCATCTTTTAATAGGTAGGCTACCATTTCATCAGTCGGTGCTAGAGATGATGCAAGTTGGCAAATGCCAAATGGGCCCTTCGTCCTCCAGTTGAGATGGTGTCAGCAACCAACCTGTTCGGTCTGTCGCAACTCCTCAAGTAAGTGAATTGGTCGAAGCATTCTGTTGCTTCCCACCGTATCATTAGACTGGGAGTGGCACAAAACTAATCTTGAAGCATCATCTCATACTTAACAGCTGCAAAGCACATGCCAGTGATACTTAGGTTTCTGCTCAAGGCATCCAGAAGACCCTGGATTTTGTCAGTGTCTTCACCTAACTGGACAATATCGTTTGCTTACTTCAAGTTAACTACTCGCCTTCCAGGGAGTAGGCCGATCCCTATAAAATCAGACTTACTTAAAGCTAGGTCCAATAATCCGTCTACAATGAAGTCAAACGGGATCAGCAACAGCAGGCATCCCTGGTGTATACCACTGGTTGTTATCATTCATATGGCAACTCCAGAAACCCCTACCTGGTCGCATAAGTGTGGATAAAAAACCTGTCACTGTGAAAGCATGATGGTTGCAGCTGATAGGAAACCTAGATCATGTTAGGATTCAAATAATTCAATTCCAGGTTACAGTCCTTCCAGTGAACAGTTAATGTACCTAGGTTAATCTCAACCCTAACAGCTGTGGTAACGTCTCTGACTACAGCACTCGGTGATGCGGTTTCGAATCTCAAACGGGGCATCAGTTCCGTTGAGGTTGCATATGCACCTTACTAATGGGTATCTGCAAGCACGAAACTTAGCTCCAGGGCTCCTTGCAGATTACTTCTATCCATCTAACAGTCCCTGATTATCAAACCACTTACAGTTTGTTTTCACTTTCACATAGAATTTTGTTTATACTTTTGTACACTTCCACCATCATTCTCATGAAAAGATCTAAACACAAACATTTTTCAACCAATCGCCCTATTACCATCGTCTTACTATATTAAGGATATCTTTGATGCAAAGTTAAATCATGCAGAAGTGGAGATTCCCTTTGCACTTGCAATTTTGGACAGCGAAGCTAGGTAGTTGCATGCTTTTAGGTGAGTTTTTTGTACAAGACTTTTAAAATATTGGTAGATTTTCAGAAATCATCTTCTGGAACACACAGTTCCAGAGATCATTGATTACAAAAAGTAGGTAAGAGGCTTGAAAGTTGATTAAAGTTATTCATACATATTCTTTGATTACTTCGGTTTGCATTATGTAATACACCTATTTGTGTTTTTTTTGTTTGCGTTCCTCTTTTCCCTTTTGTTGCTTTTATTTATTTTCCCTTAAGAAGTATAGTGAAGTGAATCTACTCGTTAGTGTGCTGCGGTATTACATTGCTTAATTTAGTATATGTGTAATAATGTACTCCGACATATGTGCTGTCCGATTGTACTGTGATATCATTAGTTCTTGTTTTGGATATATTTTAATTACATTTTAGGATTAGTCAAATTGATAACCAAGTATTTGTACCATTTCATATGGTGTGAATAACATCATTGTTGTCTTAACACCTCTGATGGGTTTTTTTTATAGGTGAAGCTGAAGCTATGCAACGTTTGGCAGAAGCCCGAGCTCAGTCCATTCAGATTATCGCTTCTGCTATTGCTAGTAACGTAAGTTATTTGTATTCACTACAAGGCAGTAATGCAATTCAGTGAAGTATTTGTTTTTTCAACAGAATTTACGCATCAAAATGAAAAACTTACAGCATTATAACCCATTTTAAAAAAAGAAACAGGGGTAATGTTTTAGTGTGTGCATATAGCGAGTATGACCTTCTTTCAGTTTGAAAAACTTAAAACAATACTGCATTTCATTTCTATATGAAAAGTTTCCGATTGTTACTACTTATCTCTAGCGTCATTTTAGGACTGAATAATTTTAGCACCTACAATGAAAATAATGTGCTTGAAGTTAAGATTTGTCATCAATGTATTAAACACAAAATAATGAAATGTTGAATTCTAGTTCAAAAGGGGATCATTAATTATGGGTCCTGTGAAACAAACAGTTTGACGGTTGAGTTTCCAATCATTGAATAGACCATATCTTGATGTAAATTCTGAATGAAGTCGATTAGTTGTCCAACTCTAAAAAGGCAATTGTAAGGGATTGAAATGTGATATGCTTGTGTAGGACAGTATGCCGTTATTCTATTATAGTGTACAGAAATGCCAAGAATTTCTTACTGCTCTTTGTTTCAGCGTGGGGCAGATGCAGTGCAGCTTGCGGTAGCTGAACAGTATATAAACGCTTTCGGTTCTCTGGCGAAGACAACCAATACAGTATTACTACCATCTAATATTGGGGATGTTTCTTCAATGATTACTCAGGTGAGTTTTTTCATTTTTTTGAAAAGCTATCTAGGTAATCAAAATGCATAGATCGTTTCACAGTTTCAAATCTTCACTGTAATTTGTTAAACTGAATAAAAACTGTACTGTTTTTGAAATCGAATTATGAAACAATATCTGCACTCAGTATTCACTGGAACTAATAATTCGGTACAACTCAAGGAGAACAGGATTTGTAATTGTAACTGTGGTGCGCTTGTTCCAAACGGTCCCAAAAGTTGAATCAAATACTTCACTAAACAGTTCAGTGGAGCTTAGCCACACAATATTAAGTGCTTATATTTACAGTAGCGTAGTCACGGTAGCAAAGACTCGGTTGCAATAGGATTATAATATCAATCATAATAGCATGGAACATGAATAACAGATACGAGCACTTTTACTGACGTGATTAGACACTACTCATTGATTGATGTATACATTACATGTCTGTCTGAATAGTCACAACTTATCACAAAAACCTGGAATCGTTTTTTAGGTGATTGGAAGATTTTCAGACATCAGACCAGTGGTTTGGTATCATTCATCTTTAAACGATGAACATGGTACAGAAGACAAACATATGCACCTGTACATTGCCACTAAGTTTTCGGGACCTCTGGTGATATCATTGATAGTTTTGATTTTAATTTAAAGCTTCTAATTTCTGGACGATCTTGGTCAGATAGAAAATCGCTAGACAATGTAACTGTATTGTTTTCAGTATGTTGGATGATTGTCTAATATTTATTGCGTTAATATTTGACGCATGAACCAGCCTATTGAGGGAAGTTTTTAATATCCTATACAAGAAGAAGGTATTTTTGAGCAGCATAGCGTCGAATGCATTTTTAAAAGTATTAAATCAACATATTCGTGTGTGGTGAGCTCAAATGTATTCATCTTACTTGTTTGGGAACGCAATGCTATTTTGTTCTATTTTGAATCATACCACTTAGATTCTCTGTGACAACTCTCAGTTAACGAACTCTAATCATGGAACCATATAGGTCAATCTTCTTATAAAAAGTCCAGGGATTGCTGTTCTTTCCACTCTTTTTCTCTACCAGCATCACATGCAGGAGTATCTTGCATGTGGATGTGCAAACAAGATCTTGCGCCTAACTTTACGTGAAAACACTGAAAAAACTACTGGCCGAATACTTGTAACCGCTTCGTTTCTACTATCTTTGACAGTGACATCGTGAAATAATATGAAAAAAAAACAATCCACCTACCTGCTACGTGCTTTTTTTCATATCTTGCCTCCATAACAAGTAGTCTGGGTTTAAAATCTTGGTGAATTTTTTTGATTGACAGTTCGTTATTGTGTGACTACTTCACTCTTTAGTCAGACTGGATGCCGTTACAAGTCAATCTTCAAGCATTCTTTTGTAACCTGTAGGTATGAAAAAAAGTTTCTCATATTCACATGTTTCTCAAAGCATACGAAGGATCTAATTGTGTGAAAGCATTTTGAACTATTGAAATCTATGAAGTCGCTTGTAGAAGATACTTACTCGATGAGTGATAAGTAGGAAGAAATACTTTCAGGAAAACAACTTGTGTACATTTCATCGAACTTGTAACAAGTATCGAATGCAAGTCCTCTAGTCTGATATCGATTTTTTGGTTAACCCTTTTGTAACCGTAACATTTAATCCAGTGAAGTACCTGTTTGATTTTCCTTTCTTTGGAAGAAACTTATACAAAACTCCCCAATTGATTAAGTTGAGTAGAGTGTTTGTTTCGACGACGTGTTCTTTTTTTTCAACTCTGTTAAATCTTTGATAGCTCATCCGAAGTCATCATACCTGAAAACTTGAAGAACATTATACTTTTGCTTTAAAATACGTAGTGGTTATTTATTTTTGTAAGAATGAGAACTTGTTCTATTTCCATTGTTAATTATTTTTATTTCGTATACTTATTCCAGGCGTTATCAATATTCAAAAGTCTAGACAAATCGAAATCTGTTGGTAATGGGGATAACAATGATGGTAGTGATAATAAACCTTCATCAAGAAATGATGCTCCATCTTTACTGGATGATAGTAAACCGATTAATTGTCAATTGGTGTCAAAAAATAATCCTAACAAACCTTCAGCTCATATGGAGAGTGATGATGCTGCTGGTAATTTTGAAGAAACGAAGTTGTGAAACAAGAATATTGTCAGAAAGAGTTGAAGAAATCAAAACCATTGTCATCTGCGCTTTGATCCTCATATTCATTATATTTGTTGTAAAGTAGGCGTCTGTTTGATATTTCGGTTGGGTACTGTAAAAAACATCTTGTAACTTATCCACAAATGTGTATGTATCCCTTTTTTTTAGTTATTTTTCTCTGAGGACTTGCACACACACACACACACATTTGTTCTGTGTGCGTGAAGAAACGAAGGAAATCATTGTGTTTGGGATGGGATTCTCACTTAAAATTACTGTTTTTCAACAGTAGTCAGTTAGGATGACATTGGTATTTAATATAGTCTTCTGAAGTTGTTTTCGATATGCGTGTAAATGTTTGTTGTTCTTTACAGGTATCTCTGTATGTAACAAATGTCAGGCTGATCGAGATCTTGGTTAGCAATGTCAGCTAGTTGGGATTTAAATCAACCTTGTTTTTCTTCATCTGTGGGTTTTCACTCAAACAACTGTTTGTATGAATTCTCGGACTGAGTCTTTTTATCTATTCTGCTGTGGTGCCTCTTAAAGATATGAGGTTTGAATCCAAATAAAAGTGCTTCCTCTTCGGTTTGGTTCAATTTGAAGGTGGTTAAGTTGTGTATACACTTTTCAGGATTTCCAGGAAAGCCATCACATAAGTTTTAATATAATGAGTAAATCAGACTCGGCGCTCAACTTCTCCCAGGACATTCGTAACAACCTGGATGTTTGTGTCATCACATAAATATTCTTTTACAAGGGCTTTAGATAATGTTTTCTTAAAGCTTCTGCAAGTTTTCAACTGGACTTCTTGGATGAAATTCATAGATTTTGTTCTATGAATAAGATTCAGATTTCTAACAACATTATCAAAACCAGCATCTTCGGATCGCGGTTTCGAAAGATTTCACGTGTAGTCTGTTGGAGATTTAGCGCCCCGAAATCTATTGACCCATTTGTTTGTTGTTTTTAAGTTAACTGCTGACTTGACATCGTTGTGCACTATTTGTGGCATAGAATGATCGGAAACTTTTGACAATAAGTTTAGAGATGAGAAAAAGACAGGGTAACCGAGAGTGTTAATTCACTAACTGCTATTGTATTATAAAGCAAATTATTTTATCTTTATCACTGCGTAATACTAAGGAGCGGAATGCTAAACAAGAAACAAAAAGAACAGAAAGGATAGATCGGCGGAATAATTACCAGTGGTGATTACAGCAACTGGAAGAAGGTAATCACCGACTGTCTTTAACGGGGAAGAAAAAGTCAAAAGATGATTGTGAAGAGGATAATTATTCTTTCTAGGAACACATTTTCATAGATTTACACTCATGTAAATGTAATGTAAAGGATAGAAAGTCGCCGAAAATCTCCTGTACATAGGTAATATAACAAAAAATAAGTGAAGAAAGTAAGACAGATGGTACTTGAGACGAGGAAATAAAGGAAAATTTTTTGCGATGTTGACGGCTGGAAAAAGCACGTTACGTTATTGGAAAATTATACGGGAAGAAGAAATGCAACGTGACAGTTTAATTTCCTGTTCAGGAAATGACGTCATATTTTCTTTGAATAGCTGATGCTTAAAGCTATGGATTTGCAAGCGCTCCTACTTAGCTCCTTTTAAACGACTTTAAAGGGATCGGCTGACGACTTCAGTTTATCAGAAGCGTGGTAAAAGAACTGGGCATGGTTGTGTACAACATCACATTCCACCTTGTAAATTATGTTGGTTGTGATTGATTTTCACCCTACATCACTCTTGTGAATCTTTAATCGCCGCTAAACTTGGTCTTTGTTACTAGATTCAATTAAATAATACTTGTACCTACCTTGTGTATAATAAAACAGAAACTTACTGAATGGGATTATGTAACTGTAGAGGATGAAATTGCCGAAAAAGATATTCACCAGACATTTTTGTTAGGTATTTCCGGTAAAACCACTCTTGAAAGTTTATGTATAAAATCATACTACTTATAAATAAAAAGTAGGATGTGAATGCAAGATAATTTTTTATTGACAATTTTGCTGGAGATGGGAATTCGTTTTAATTCCCATCCGCGTTAGAAAAACATTTGTCGAATCAGCAAGATGTTTTTCGATGAAAGTTTTTTCTTTTGCACTTTTGCGTGGCGAGAACTGGTCAGATAAATACGAATGTCTACTAACAGTAGGCAATTAACCATTTCTTTTTTCTTTGCTTTTTTTAAAATGGACAAATTTTTCATCTTCAAAATAAAGCACACGAATAAATTTTTACTACGAGCTGTATGCCTTCAGGTAGAGAAGTAATTTAGGACTTCTTGATATTATTCCAACTTATCACTGTATTTGTAAGATAAAGTAATTAGCTATATTTTTCTTCGGACAGAATTATGCATACTGGAAGACTAGTTAGGTAAATTAAAGATTTCTAATGGTTTTCAGAATGTAATCCCATGCAGAAATGTTTTGAATGGTAATATGGTCACGTCGAGAAATGCACAACCATGGCTCTACCACATATTGAATGTCAGGATCTCGTTGTTGGGGGTAAGAAAATAGCTATCCATTAGTTCATTAGCTGACATCATTTCGTAGTGTGAATAATCTTTAAATCATTCAACCCTGTGTAAGATTCTCATTATTCCTATCTTTGACAGAATCCCAAGCCTAGAATTATTTACTGATCGCTCAAATCATGGCAAATATGTTATAAAGGTGATTATGGGGACTACATGTGTTGGATGATCACGCACAGTAATGTGCCATGCTGGGCTAGTTTTTAGTTAGGAACGTTTTTGCAAATCAATCAGTTGATGTCAAATATAGGGTTCCGGGAGTTTACTTTTAGTGAGTTTTATAAATTTCAAAGGATAAAACGAAGCATGGCTCTACTTTAGACTACGAAACATGCCCATTAGTCATAGAGAGGAGATAATTCAGTGAAAAAAATCTTCTTTTTCGACGATATCATTTTCTATAGCTGTACAATCGTCTTTGTATATATCATAGACATATAACAGTCTATTATAAAACATTAGGGTATAATTACATCATTAACCTAGTGCTAAAAAACCGTTTCTTATCTACCAACAATTTTCTCCTTGTCTTCCTCGTTATTTCTACTATCTTAGGTTGTTACGCAACTACTTTGCATTCTTGATTCCGGTTTTTTAGCGCTAGGTTAATGATGCAGTTATACCCTATTGTTTTATATGTTATATGTTTATGAGATATATAAATACGATTGTACAGCTATAGAAAATGATATCTTCGAAAAAAAAATTTTCTTCACTGAATCATCTCTTCTCTATGAAGCATGGCTCATCATTTAATGTTATATCACGCAACTTTGTCGAAACTTATTTAGTTAACTTCATTGTTCACACCCAGGAACCTACGTAAGTTACCCAAAGTTGATCTCTTCTATTTGGAGGTTTGTGGTCATTAATTGATATTTCTGTTTCACTGGCAACTCATTGAGGAAAGAATAAATAATTCAGCGAAGAAAATGTTATTTTTCAACAATGTCATCATCTAAAGCTGTCGAAGTCGTACTTTATTTGAACTGTTCCCGTTGACTCTGTAAATGACATTGAAGGAGGACTCTGAGAGAGCTATATATCCAGAGTTGACCAAATGTTCACTAATCAACTGTTAATTGATTTGCATTCTCCCATCGACAGGTATGCAGGATGGTGCTTAGACATACGTTTGGAAAGTGTGTGGTTTATCTTACTAGCTGCATAAGAGCAAGTAAATTTGCAGGTACACATGAAGTGGCCAAAAGCGACAACTTGTCCTTGTCAACTAGAGAAGAGGATCTGTAGTTCGATAGAGGAGAAATGTCCTTTTCATCGATCTGGACGGCCGGTTCTTCAGGATCCCCTGCCATGTCATCTTCGAAATCAACATCCACAAATAAAATCTTCGGAGCTGAGTATTTTCTCCAAACTATGTTTAGATCTTTAGGATGAATTTGTTTTTTCTTTCTTTTGAACGGCGTCCGCTTATGAAAATTCATACATTGTCTATTGCATGTCTGCTTTCTGCAGATGGAACTCTAGAGTGAACCGTCTGGTCTTCGTTTCAATAAGGCATCCAGAAAATGAAATTCCGGGCTCTTCGAATTCTTATATGAAGTTGGTCGATAAATGACAATCACGAAGCTTTTTTGACTATAGCCGTCAACGTGTTTTTTCGTTACAAATGATAAACGTATCCCCATGTAGGGAAAAACTATCAATTTTCAATTCAAGCACATTATTACCTAAGTTTACCATCAAGCAATCTGCCAGCGACGGTCCATGGTGGTAGCCTCGTCCTTTTATCTACACAGCTCGTTGAAAATGGATCTCGGAAGTAATTCTTTCATACAGTATTTTGGGAAACCCCCGTGAAAGTTTTCATCTTCAATGAAATCACATAGAAAACAGCTTTAGTGAGAAGATAGGCAAAGAAACAAATCCGCTTACCAGGCACATTGACATTATCTGTTGAGTTGACTAAGTCAGGAAAATCCAACACGTTTTACGCAGTTAGCTGTTTTCTGACTCTGTGAACGATATACAACAGCGATTTGGCGATTGTATGATATGGTGAATTGTTCATATCCAAAATTAAACTAAGGGGAAGTTTTTTGTGTACTTTCGGGAGATTATATAAGCGAGTACTTACAGAAGTAGGTAATCTAAGTTGCTTATATAGTTTGAAGCTGAAGACTGACTCATTCTTCGTTTTCTTAAGAATCAGAGTGCTTTTGTTCAGTTTGCTCGGTATCAACTTTCTGAGTAATTTGTTTTGAAAATTCACTCTTGTCTAATAAAGAAGAATATTTTAGTGTCGTATTTCAAACAGTTCATGAAGACAATACCAATACATTTATCATAACCGAGTGGCTGTAAATCTTATATTTTTCAAGATCTAGCGCAGTTGTTTTTCACTACCTTTTGATAACACCCGTTTGGATTCTAAAATCTACCAAGTTGTTTACAGTGTTTTTCTGTTTTAAGATATTAATGGCAGCAATCCAGAATGGTTGCTTTGAGCTGTTCAAGTCTCTTATATAAAACTAGTAGGAGACTATTCGTTTGATTGATCACGTTTTCAAAGCAAACTTTTATGTTGATATCATTAGCAGTTGCTGAAATGTCCCATTTCGAACCTGGAGGCAATTTCTACATTTGAATGGAAATCAAATCGGATGAACTAGTGAAAATCTTTATGAATAACCAATAATGTTCTAGATGCTGTAAATCAAGACCATTAGTTCACGTCCGTTTGTTATGTTGATTCTGAGTAGGTTGTTCATGAATTATGATGAAGACCACATTGTCGGTTATTTGCAAAGAGTTAAATTGTTTAGAAGGAGCCTAATTTGCGAATATGGTGTTCTGATGGTTTGTGTAGTAAATAATCGGAAAATGTTTAGTTTCATCTTTCGTTGTCTAAGCTGCTGCAAAAAGCAATATCTGTGACCATGATCGTGTTCTGAAAGGTCTCCTATAAGTCTCCAACAAATAAAGGTTTCAGTCCTACATTGGATTGTTGGGACACCTATAGTACCAGTTGAAACCCTGACAGATTTTAGTGAAGTTTCT